CATCGATGTTTCCCTCTCTCTCCCTTCCTCTCTCTCCCTCCCACTCTGTCTGTACAAAAAATGGAAAAATGTCCTCGAATGAGGATAGATTAAAAAAAAAAGACACAGAATAGCTGATTGGATAAGAAAGCATGATTCATCTATATGTTGTATACAAGAGACACACCTCATTACAAAAGAATCACACAGGTTGAAAGTGAAGGGATGAAAAAAAATCTTCCAAGCAAATGGAAAGGAAAAAAAAAGCTGGGGTAGCAATACTCATATTTGATAAAATAGATTTCAAAATGAAGGCCATAACTAAAAGCAAAAAAGGCCACTACATAATATTGATAGGATCTATCCAACAGGAAGATATAACCTTGATAAACATATATGCACCCAATATAGGAGTAACAAAATATATTAAAAATCTTCTGGAAGACTTCAAAGGAGAAATCGATAGCAATACAATCATAGCATGGAACTTAGACACCCCACTGACGTTACTGGATAGGTCCTCTAGACAAAAAATGAGCAAGGAAACAGAGTTTCTAAATGAAGCACTAGACCAAATGGATTTCATAGATATCTACGGACAATTACACCCCAAAACTACAGAATTAACATTCTTCGCAAATGCACATGGGACAGTCTCAAAAATAGACCACATGTTAGGACACAAACTAAGTCTCTACAAGTTCAAGAAGATTGAAATCATATCAAGCATCTTCTCAGATCACAGTGGCATGGAACTAGAAATAAAATGCAACAAGAACATGCAAAGACATTTGAACACATGGAAGCTAAATAGCATGTGATTAAACAATGAAGGGGTTACCGAGAAGATCAAGGAAGAAATTAAAAAATTCATGGAAACCAATGAAAATGAAGACACTACAACACAAAATCTATGGGATGCAGCAAAAGCAGTTCTGAGAGGAAAGTTCATAGCACTACAGGCCTATCTGAAAAAAAAAAGAAAAATTTCTAATTGACTATCTAACCTCACAACTTAAAGAACTAGAGAGCAAACAAAAGAAAACCCCAAAGCAAGTAGAAGGAAGGAAATAGTAAAAATCAGAGCAGAAATAAATGACATAGAGTCCAAAAAAACAATTCAAAGGATCAATGAAACAAAGAGCTGGTTTTTCAAAAAGATAAACAAGATTGATGGACCCTTACCTAGACTCACCAAGAAACAAAGAGAGAGAACCCAAATACACAAAATCAGAAATGAAAGAGGAGAAGTAACAACTGACACCACAGAAATACAAAAGATCATTAACAGCTACTTTCAACAATTATATGGCAACAAGTTCGACAATCTAAGTAAAATGGACAAATTTCTAGAAACACACAGTCTCCCAAAACTGGACCGGGAAAGATAGAAAATTTGAACAGACCCATAACAACTAAGGAAATTGAAGAGGTAATCAAGACACTCCCACAAACAAAAGCCCAGGCCCGAATGGCTTCATGGGAGAGTATTACCGAACATTCGAAGAAATAACACCAATTATCCTCAAACTATTTCAAAAAATTAAAGAAAAAGGAAGACTTCCAAACTTGTTTTATGAAGCCAACATACTTCTTATTCCAAAACCAGAAAAAGATACTACAAAGAAAGAAAACTACAGGCCAATATCCCTGATGAACATAGATGCCAAAATCCTGAACAAAATACTAACAAACCGGATCCAGCAATACACCAAAAAAATTATTCGCCATGACCAAGTGGGATTCATCCCAGGGATGCAAGGCTGGTACAATATTCACACATCAATAAACATGATACACCACATAAATAAAATGAAGAATAAAACCACATGATCATATCAATAGATGTTGAAAAGGCCTTCGACAAAATCCAGCATCCATTTCTGATAAAAATGCTCAGCAATGTGGGAATAGAGGGATCATATCTCGACATAATAAAGGCCATATATGAAAGACCTACAGCCAACATCAAAAACTAAAAGCATTTCCCTTAAGAATAGGAACAAGGCAAGGATGCCCACGTTCACCACTCTTATTTAACATAGTACTGGAAGTCTTAGCTACAGCAATCAGACAAGAAAAAAATAAAAGGGATCAAAATTGGAAAGGAGGAAGTAAAACTGACATTATTTGCAGATGACATGATACTAAACATAGAAAACCCCAAAGACTCCATCAAAACTTTCTTAGACTTAATAAATGAATTTGGAAAAGTAGCAGGATACAAAATTAAAGTCAAGAAATCGATGGCATTCTTATACACCAATGATGAACTCATAGAAAGCAAAACTAAGAAAACAATCCCATTTACCATTGAGGCAAAAAAATTAAGATACCTAGGAATAAACTTAACCAAAGAAATAAAGGACCTATTCGCAGAAAATTACTGGTCATTGAAAAAAGAAATAAAGGAAGATATAAAAAAGTGAAAACACATATCTTGTTCATGGATTGGAAGAATTAACATCATTAAAATGTCTATACCACCCAAAGCAATCTATAGATTCAATGCAATCCTCATCAAAATACCAACGACATACTTCACAGAATTAGAACAAATACTTCAAAAGTTCATATGGAACCAAAACAGACCTCGAATAGCCACAGCAATCTTGAAAAAGAAGAACAAAGTTGGAGGGATCACATTACCAGATTTCAGGTTCTACGACAAAGCCACTGTAATCAAAACAGCCTGGTACTGGCACGAGAACAGGCATATAGACCAGTGGAACAGAACGGAGAACCCAGAAATGGACCCAAGGCAATATGCTCAATTAATATTTGACAAAAGTGGCAAGAGCATACAGTGGAGTAAGGATAGCCTCTTTCATAAATGGTGTTTGGAAAATTGGACAGCTACATGCAAAAAAAACTAACACCATACACAAAAATAAACTCAAAATGGATAAAAGACTTAATTGTGACTCATGAATCCATAAAAATCATAGAAGAAACTGTAGGCAACAAAATTTCAGACATCATACACAGCAGAATTTTCACTGATATATCACCTAACAGAAACAAAGGAGAAAATGAACACATGGGACTACTTCCAACTGAAAAGCTTCTGCACAGCGAAATATACAATCATCAAAACAGAAAGGCTACCCACTGTATGGGAGAGCATAATTGCCAATGATATATCAGATAAGGCGTTAACTTCCAATATATATGGAGTGCTCATACAACTAAACAAAAGGAAGACAAAGAACCCAATTAAAAAATGGGCAGAGGAACTAAATAGACACCTCTCCAAACAGGACATACAAGTGGCTAAGAGGCATATGAAGAAATGCTCAACATCACTAATCATCAGAGAGATGCAAATTAAAACAACAATGAGGTATCACCTCACACCTGTCAGAATGGCCGCCGTCAACAAATCATCAAGTTGGTGAGGGTGTGGAGAAAAGGGGACTCTAGTACACTGCACTCTAGTGGGAATGCAGACTGGTGCAGCCACTATGGAAAACAATATTGTGTTACCTCAAAAAATTAAAAATTGAACTTCCATTTGACCCAGTGATCCCACTTTTAGCAATATATCCTAGGAAGCCTGAAACACCAATCAGAAAGAATATATGTACCCCCATGTTTGTAGCAGCACTATTTACAATAGCTAAAACCTGGAAACAGCCCAAGTGTCCATCAGTAGACGAATGGATAAAAAAGTGGTGGTGCATATACACAATGGAGTACTATCTCTTATCCTTTGAGACTACATGGAGGGACCTGGAAAGTGTTATTCTAAGCAGAAGCAGCCAAGCAGAGAAAGCTAAGTATCACATGATCTCACTTATTTGTGGAATTTAATGAACATAACAGTCTGAGGTAGTCCCAGAGACACGGAAGTGGGGTACAGACTGAAAATCCCTGGAAGAGGGCATGGGGGGGGGGGAGATAAACCACAGAACTTATATGCATGTATGAATGAACAATGGACATGGACAACAAAGCTGGGTACAAGGTCGGGAGGCAGGGGGAGGGGGATATCAGTGGGGGGAAAAGGAACATCTGTAACAAAATTAAATTTTAAAAAATACCTTCAAAAGTAATTTACAAGGTAAGATTATATTACATTCTCAAGAACTGTATTTCTATAAGACTATCAGAATCTTTAATTAGGGTGAAATAAGATTTAACATCAATAAATAATTCACTATAACTGAAAAAAAAGTTTGTTTTACTACTGAAGAAATAATAGATATAGTTATTATAATAATAAAAAAATAATTAATGCATAAAGTGAAAACTTCAAATCATAAAATGGGTGTAAAATAATATATAAATTTCTCATCAGAATCTTCAGATTGCCAAGAATTTATGTACACTTCCAGATGCTTTTTGTGCATTTACATGTAGACATAGCAGAAACAGATATTTTGGAATCTGTTCACAGTAAATGAGATAATGAACAAACATGGACCACAAAGCTGGGGACAGGGTGGGGAGGGAGGGGAAGGGAGGAATCAGTGTGGGGGGTGGGGGGGAGAAACATCTGTAACAAAAATAAATTAATTAATTTAAAAAAATAAAAGAATTTCTGCAGGGCCATGTACAAGATAATAAGTAGCCCATGATGGGTACCATATTAGTGGAAATAACTGAAAATTGGTACTAGTAAATGATGACCGTATCAATTACATAAAATATCCCCAGCACAGGTCTATAGGATGAATCTGAGCATGTGAATGCCAGAGACAGAGCTTGTGACTGAATATTTTTAAATGTACTTTTTAAATGAATAATACTAGCTAGATATTTGTTAGAAAACAGATTTGTGTCCATGGCCAGAGCATTTTAACTTTGCTACCCTCCAAAAGATTTTTGAAAAGAAAGAAAGAAGAAAAGTTAATCATTTCTATGACCTAGAATAATAGAGATTACCATAACTGGCAAAACTCATATGCAAATTATTCAGTGTGAAACTAAATAAACATTATGTCACACTCAGTGGATTTTAGGTTATCAATTACATGAATTTGGGTTCCTTTTTTTAACATAACAAGTTTGAGACCTACCTTTTGAGGTATTAAGAAAGATCTGAAGTTCCGTCATTGGATCTGGATTAATGCTGTCCACGTTTGTCTCTACATGTGTGGAACCAGAAACAAGAGAATTGCTAGATCCTATGAGAGGGAAAAGTACATTTTTAAAGTCTATATTTTCATGAATAGAACATTACTTATGGTTAGTAGTAGAATGCTCTCTGCTATCACAAGCATATGAAACAAACAGCTCACCTTTCTGCACAGTGAAGCGAACACCTGTAGACTCCCCAGTGTCTCCTGAAGGCAAAATAACAGACTGTACTGCTATATTAGGGTTTAACACTGTTTTGTTGCCCAAAGACCAGGAATAATTCTCCATTTCCTTAATAAGCCTGCATAGTATAAAACATAACAACATGATATTCTAGAGCTTCATTGTAAAATCAGAGGTGTGTGTTCTCTCCCAAATTCCAGTAGAAAAGCATTATTAGAGAACTCATGAGATCACAATAACATTAACATAATCACCTAAAACCATTGATTTTCTTTAGCAGAGTCTTTTTTGTTGTTGTTATATATATCTTTTTAAAAAGTTCTAGTGGACTATCTCCACTGAAGGGTATCTTCTACACTGATGCCAGAAAGCTGGAACTCAAAAAGGACAAATTTCCTAATAGAAATAATCTTTACTATGCTGCTCTTCACATCGAAGGATGGTGTTGCCACCCACCACTGGCCAAGCATGAGATGCTTGTTTCTCCAGTGGTGAGACTCAGTTTCTACTTATTCAACTCCCTCCTCTCACCAAAACCCTTTGTGACCCAAAGCATGTCTTAAAAGTTGTTCATTCCTGAGGTGACAGTTCATACAGACTATGAAAGAACAGAACTCATTTCCTCAGCTATTAACCACACTGTCCTTCTCTATCTTGTATAAATTCAAAGATAGATTAGATGGAATGTGAGAGGGAGAGGAAGGAACATGTCGATCTGGTGTTCTCCAAAGAAAAGTCATATGACCTTTCTTTTTTTGTTTCCTGTAAGAAATACTTACATTATTTCTGTACTTGACAAAATAAAATCTCTATATCTAAGATAACTGATTCAATCTAGTTTTCCCAGAAATGAAAGGATCTCATTAAAATGTAATTGTTCAAAATTCTAAACTCTGTATCTGCCACTAAATATCTTTTCCCTTCCCCAAAAGAGATTTAAAAAAAGAGAGAAATTTTAAAATAAAGATTGCTCTATAAAGAGGATGTGATAACCATTCATATGGAAACATTCAAGTTGGCTTCTCTGTTTTTAAAGGCCTTCTTTTTAAAACACCCTTTTCTGTAATTTTCAGCAACTTATACTATGTATTTCCCACTTAAGGAATCACAGTCAGGGCTGCTTTCAACCTAACAAGACTCCCCTCTGCTAAGAACATAATTCATGCATTAAGTTAACCAATAGTATCTGTTGAGTACCCACTAAGAGGTTAGTATTCTGGGAAACACTGGGGATACTATGAGGAGCTCCCTTGGGCATTTGAAGGACAAAGGGAAAGATGTACTAAATATATGGAGGGTGTTTGCCATGATCACAACCACTTTTAATGGATAGCTCTAGCCACAGCACCTCCCATATGGTCCTTTCCTCCTCTTGCCACAACTAATTGGATTACAGGTGGGTGCCTGTCTCAGAGCTTCCAATCTGGAGGCTGGTCATCAACTTGATACAAAAGACTACACGAAGGAATCAGATTCTTTCACTTAGTAATTTTTCATTTAGTGCAGCAGTTATATCAGGAAAGGCATGGTTTAAAGTGGGGACCGGAAAGATCATTACATCCTTTGTAAGAACAAATACAAATTTAAAAGATTAGGCTTAATTCTTCCTGTTGAAAATAAGGGAAGAAATTGTCCTCCCTCCTTTTTTCTTGAATTTTCATTTTAGAAAACTTGCAAGTACTTTCTCCTCTCTTTGAAATGTAAGTAAATTCTTTGGAAGACTAAATTGGTATTTTGCCAGCTGTGACCTAGGAATGTCTTTCTCAAGAACATGGGAGCAATCTCTTTGAGGGAAGTAGCACCCCTAACTCCCGGTTTCTGTGGGAGAGTGGGAGTCTAGCTTTGGTGATTGAACATCTTGCTCCAAGTTGAAAAACTATATCCTGTAATAAAGATATGAGAAGTTTGTATTTCCTCTGGATAAGGTCAGTTAGCTAACACAAATGGTTACCTCACTTACCAAGTAATGCTAGAATATACTATGTGTGACAAATAGAGCTGTCAAGTTCTCTTAATTGAGGACTAGTCATTGTTGATCTGAAAACATATATGTAATGGATTATACCTATTTGTTTATATAAAGAGTAAGATTCTGCCCTGGCCAGTGGAAACAGTCTTGGCCTATAGATGGAAGGGTTGCAGTTTCAATTCCCAGTCAATGGCACGTGCCTGGGTTGCAGGTTTGATCCCCAATCCCAGTCAGGGTTGTGCAGGAGGCAACCAATCAATGTGTTTCTCTCACATCAATGTCTCTCTCTCTCTCTCTCTCTCTCTCTCTCTCTCTCTCTCTCTCTCTCTCTCTCTCTCTCCCTCCTTCCATCCCTTCCACTCTAAAAATCAATGGATAATGGAAAAATATCTTCGGGTGAGGATTAACAACAACAAAAAAAAGAGGTGATATTCCTTTCTGTCTTTCAAGCTCTTAGTAATTTCCCTGTGATGTGTGTCGTGTCACACTCTGTTTTAATGCTTACTCAATAGTAAAAGTGTTTTCTTTCTCTACTACCTTTATAGAGAAGATTTCTGGGTTGTGACAAGGGTTTTTAATAATTTTATTTCCTCAACACCATGAATAGGATTAAATTATTAAAGAATGGGATCTAGAAGTAAAGATAAGAGAAGTAAATATATTTATTGGGTCATGTGAATTATAAAGATAACTGCTAACCTTTTTTTAATAAACTTATATGTACATCAGGTATAATACTAGTGATTTACATACATTATCTCATTGGAGCTTCACAAGAACCCTCCTGAAGTGAGATCCAAAATTACTCCCATATCACATCAAAGAATCTGAGGCTCTAAACACATGGAGGCTAGATAGCATGTTATTAAACAATGAATGGGTTACCAAGGAGATCACAGAAGAAATTAAAAACTTCCTGGAAAACAACGAAAATGAACATAAAACAACACAAAATCTATGGGATACAGCAAAAGCAGTTCTGAGAGGGAAGATCATAGCACTACAGGCCTACCTCAAGAAACAAGAAAAATTTCTAATTGACTTTCTAACTTAAAGAATTAGAAAGCAAACAAAAAAAAATCCCAGAGCAAGTAAAAAGAAGGACATAGTAAAGATCAGACAGAAATAAATGACATAGAGTCCAAAAAAACAATCCAAAGGATCAATGAAACAAAGAGCTGGTTTTTCGAAAAGATAAACAAGATTGATGGACCCTTACCTAGACTCACCAAGAAACAAAGAGAGAGACCCCAAATACACAAAATCAGAAATGAAAGAGGAGAAGTAACAACTGACACCACAGAAATACAAAAGATCACTAACAGCTACTTTCAACAATTATATGGTAACAAATTCGACAATCTAAGCTAAATGGACAAATTTCTAGAAACACACGGTCTCCCAAAACTGGACCGGGAAAGATAGAAAACTTGAACAGACCAATAACAACTAAGGAAATTGAAGAGGTAATCAAGACTCTCCCAGCAAACAAAAACCCAGGCCCGGATGGCTTCATGGGGGAGTATTACCGAACATTCAAAAAAGAATACCCATTCTCTTCAAACTATTTCAAAAAATTCAAGAAGGAAGACTTCCAAACTCGTTTTATGAAGCCAGCATACTTCTAATTCCAAAACCAAAAAGACACTACAAAGAAAGAAAACTACAGGCCAATATCTCTGATCAACATAGATGCCAAAATCCTGAACAAAATACTAGCAAATCGAATCCAGCAATACATCAAAAAAATTATTCACCATGACCAAGTGGGATTCATCCCAGGGATGCAAGGCTGGTACAATATTCACAAATCAATAAATGTGATACACCACATAAATAAAATGAAGCATAAAAATCACATGATCATATCAATAGATGCTGAAAAAGCATTCAACAAAATCCAGCATCTATTTCTGATAAAAACACTCAGCAATGTGGGAATAGAGGGATCATATCTCAACATAATAAAGGTCATATATGAAAGACCTACAGCCAACATCATACTCAATGGGCAAAAACTAAAAACATTTCCCTTAAGAACAGGAACAAGACAGGATGCCCACTTTCACCACTCTTATTTAACATAGTACTGGAAGTCTTAGCTACAGCAATCAGACAAGAAAAAAATAAAAGAGATCCAAATTGGAAAGGAGGATGTGAAACTGTCATTATTTGCAGATGACATGATATTATACATAGAAAACACTAAAGACTCCATCAATAATCTACTAGACTTAATAAATGAATTTGGCAAAGTAGCAGGATACAAAATTAACGTCAAGAAATCGATGGCATTCTTATACACCAATGATGAACTCACAGAAAGAGAATCTGAAAAAACAATCCCATTTACCATCATGGCAAAAAAATTAAGATACCTAGGAATAAACTTAACCAAAGAAATAAAGGACCTATTTGCAGAAAACTACAGGACATTGAAATAAGAAATAAGAAATGAATCAATAGATTCAATGCAATCCCCATCAAAATACCAATGGCATACTTCACAAAACTAGAACCAATACTTCAAAAGTTCATATGAAACCAAAAACGACCTAAAATAGCTACAGCAATCTTGAAAAAGATGAACAAAGTAGATGGGATCACAATACCAGATATCAGGTTATACTACAAAGCGACTATAATCAAAACAGCCTGGTACTGGCACAAGAACAGGCATATAGACCAGTGGAACAGAATAGAGAACCCAGAAATGGACCCAAGGCAATATGCTCAATTATTATTTGACAAAGGTGGCAAGAGCATAGTGAAGTAAAGACAGCCTCTTTAATAAATGGTGTTGGGAAAATTGGAAAGCTACATGCAAAAAACGAAACTAGACCATAAACTTACACCATACACAAAAATAAACTCAAAATTGATAAAAGACGAATGGATAAAAAAGCTGTGGTACATATACACAATGGAGTACTATGCAGCTGTAAGAAAGAAAGATCTCTTATCCTTTGAGACTACATGGAGGGACCTGGAAAGTATCATCCTAAGTGAAACAAGCCAAACAGAGAAAGACAAGTTTCATATGATCTCACTTATTTGTGGAATATAATGAACATAACAGTCTGAGGAATGGGGTAGTCCCAGAGACTCGGAAGTGGGGTATAGCCTGACAATCCCCTAAAGAGGGGCGT